CTTTTATCTGCTCTGCTCCACTGATTTACTCTTCTTAAAATCCCTGAACATCTCTCTTTTTTGAGGCTGAGGGAACCGGAATGGGACCAGATGTGTTCCAGAAGGGAAACCTCTTGGAGCAAGACAGGCATGGGAGAAAGTTTATAGTGCAGTTTGTTTTGTTATTCTTTGCCTTGATAACAAGGTCAAAAGCATGGAAGAGGGTGAATGCGGGCACTAGGCCAACAGCATATTGAGTGCAGGGGAAGGGATTTTCCAAATAATACAGAGAGAAACAGACACTCCCTGATTTAATTGCCTACTAAAGCTATGCTGGTAACTTTGTGCTTATTAAGAATCCCACAAAAATGAATTTGCACAGCAAGGAGCAATTTTGTGGCAAGGGGTTGATTTTGGTTTCAAAGCCAGATGCTGCTGCCCTGATGCGAGACTCAGCCCTGTGTGAAAAACTGTTACCCAGCTTGTCCTCCTCTGACGTGCGCCCGTCAGCCGCTGGGCATGGAGACAAACTGTACCGGCAGTGTGTCCCTGTAAACAATGACTCAGTCCCTGTCCTGAGCAAAGTCACCTTTCAAAGGGTGACTTGGTGATGACAGTAGCAGTGGTGCTAGCTGCTGCAGTCCCTGGGAAGCCCCGGGGATGCTGGGTTATTTTCTGCTTTGGAGAATGAATTGCTGCAAGTTGGGCGTGAAACCTTCGTCGTTGTTGCTCAGTGTTGTACAGTGGCAGCTCCTGGTGACAGCAACCTCTTCCACTTTGCTCTGGGAGGTGTTTGGGAGTGTCCTAAGGATTCAAGGTTAAAAGTAACTGTGTGCCCCGTGCTGTTGAATGGTTGGACGTTTTGCAGAAGGCCCAGGACGTGGCATACCGCAGCAGTTTCCTGGCATCTTGGAAGCCTGGTGTTGCTGTATGCCCCCAACTTCTGCCTGAGAACAGAAGAGACTCGAAATTCAGCCATGGGTGTAGTAGCAGAACCAATCCATCCACTCTCTGTAGGCTTCTTGATCAAGGATTTCCAGTAAAGTGGAGGAGCTGATTCTTCTTATTTTAAGAATTATAATAATCTGTAGTAATTGTACTAGGGAATGCAGTCACGAGCCAGAAAGAGAGCAAAATCTGCCTTTTGGGTTGGGAGCAAATGCCACTGCTCTAGAGTAGCTCCTCTCCCAGCTTCTAGGACCCTTGAGTCACTATTCGAGCACAGAGCTGGACAGACACTCAGTTCAGTATTTACTTTCCACCCGTGAAAGTAGTTTAAAGGTATCAACTTTGCTCCCTTTAACTGGTCACTTTTTTTTTTTTTTTTAAAGCCAAACTTATTTGCTAAAAGGCAGCAGAATAGTGTGTGTGAAGACTGGCAACAGTAAGAAGTTCCTTAGTGAGTATGCGTAGGGCGATCACAGTTGCTTTTAGGCTATGACTTCCACTGTGTTAGGTTTAGTTACCAACTCATTCACTCCTCCTGCTCCTCTGATTTACAACTTATGTATAGGGGAAGTGACACGAGAGAGCAGGAAGGTTGTGTGCACATCGTTACACTGTCGGACAGATTTATCCCTCCTATCATGGGACTCTGCAAGCTTCGGTAGGCAGCTGCCGAGCGGTAATGATTGTCTGATGGGAGCCTCATCTGCAGCTTGCTGCGAGCAGCGTAGCTCGTGGTGGTGCAGCTGCATAGCCCCCCTACGGCAGGGGTGTCTGGGCTGCCTCTCATGCCTGCTGCGTCTCCTCGGGGCAGAGGACCCTGCCCTGTGGACACGGAGGAGGATACTGCCTCCGTGCCAGAAGATGAGCTTCTTATAGCTTCTCCTTTGCTGGTGTTCTGCACTCCAGGTGACCCTTTTCGTCTACTCGGACTTGCTGCTGTTCACGAAGGAGGATGAGCCAGGGCGCTGCAACGTGCTGAGGAACCCTCTCTACCTGCAGAGCGTCAAGCTTCAGGAGGGTGAGTGTTTGCAGCAGTTGGGGACTTACAGGATGTTTTCTGGGCTGCTAGCTGTAATCAGGTATCTAGCCAGCAAGGAGGCAGCACAGGTAGGTTGCACAGCACCCTGGCAACCTATTGCTTCCAGTATGTGACAGTGCTGTTTGACTCGTGCTGCCATATCTCTCTCCTCAGGGTGATGGACCAGCATCACCCTTCCCGTCCTTGCCTTCAGCCGGTCCCTGGGAGCTCTATCTCCTGGGAGCCCTCAGGGATGCTCAGGTAGCACCAGCTCCCAGGGCTTTCCAGACTGCTGTTCCCGTGGATGGAACAAAGACTTTCTCAGGGATTTGGGGCTGACATTTCTGAGGGTCTTGCTGTGCTGTGCTGTTCTCCTTACCCTGGCCTCTCAGTGTTATATTGCTTACAGTGAGAACTAGCTGAGGGTGAAAAGGGAAGTGAAGTCTTGAGGTTTCCCCCATGGTGCTTCGAGAGAGCTCAGAAGCTGTCTCCAGGAGAGTCGGGCCAAGCCCTACTGACCTTTACTTACCCTACTTCCCCTTCAACCACCCACGATTTTCTTCCTTGCTAGCGTCCCTCCCCCATACACACCCCAGCATACAGGTCTCTGAGGAAAGAGCAAATCCAGGCCTTAGGGGGAGCCTGTGGGCTTTGCCCATACTCAGTTTGCTTTGGATGGGCCTTTACGTCCAGCCGAGGACCCAGGGAGGGGTTAAAAGGCAAGGGGAATGGCTCAAAACCAGTTATTTCAAGTTGAAATGCTGAGGTCATGTGAAAGATGCTCTTTGCCACTCAGGGTCAAAAGGGGAACGAATAAATTGCTCCACAGCACCCTATTTCTCAATGTGGAGACACCTCTTGGCCTCAGCCTAGTCCCACTTTGTCCCTTCCTTGGTACAGTCATTGTTATATTGGGTGCACATGTTTAGGTGCATGCTTTTTGGTGTACATTTATTCAACTGTGTCAGCGTGAGGCTGGGGCCCTACCTCCTCCTTGACCTTGGGCATCAGGTGTTGCTGGACCAGGCTCCTATGTGAGAAATTCTGCTTACGTATAAGAAAGAACTTTTTTTTCATGAGGGTGATTGAATGCTGGGCTGAGTTGTGGGACCTCCGTCCTTGGAGGTGTTCAAGACCTGACTGGACACAGCCCTGGGCACCCTGATCTGATAATACATGCTTTGGGCAGGGGGTTGGTCTAGAGGCTCCAGAGTCCCCTTCCAACCAGAACTACTCTGTAATTGCATGAGTCGGTGTCTAGGTGCTGGGTGCTGTGCGTGGTGCTTCCCACCACGAGGGGTTATTCCAGAGCTGAGCTGATTCTCCAGAAGGAGTGATTTACTAGATTAATTTTGTTGCTTTGTGTTTGTGACATGCTCAGAGAGAGACTGGGATGCTCTCAAGTCAAGCTGGGAGCTCTGCACACAAGCTGCGGCTCTCCACATGCCCTGCATCATTGCGAACCTCAGGGCTGGGGATCCGTGGTGCTGCGGTTGGGCACCTGGACACTGGGCGTTGCTCATCAGTTGGTGTTTCATATTTCCGACAACGTTTCTGCTCCCAAATTCATTCACTGGGCTATTTGGTGGGGACAGAAACTCGGTCAAGGAAGAAGGGGTGCCACAAAGAGTACAAGCCATTTAGAAAAGCTACTGAAGCTTTGTGGGAGTTTGTTGAGCTTGTTCTGAGTGCGTTTTATTCTAAGAAATGGACAAAAGAAATTGTTCTTTGCTGAAGTGCTCACTGGGCAGCATCTAGTCCTGGAGTACTTCAGTCTGGGTGAGCACGTGCAATTCCTGGCCGCTCTCAAAGGCGACTGTGTAATCCTGCTCTTGTTTGCCTACTTGAAGAAATCAGCTTTCCTGGTGCTTGTCCTGGTGGTGCAACGCTGGCTTCGTGCACAAAGGCCTGCTTGCAGCTCAGTGCTAGGATGTGCCTCCTAAGCTCAGGCAGGGCAGTTGGATTTTGTGAGCGATTAGGTCCCATTTATTTCCTTATTGCCATAATAACTTGGCTAGATCACATCTGGAATAGTTTATCACGCTTCTCCAAAGGGGATGTTTGTGTCTGCAGTGCACAGCCTCCCCACGTACGCTCTGCCTCGCTGGGAATCCAGCACCCTCGCTTTTCAGGCACTCACCCTCCGGATTTGTGCTTCAAAGCTGGGCAGAACAAGCAAAAAGATGTCTGTCCTTTTTGGCAGGGATTTTCTGTTGGTCTCCTAAATAACTGAATGGCACATTAATAGGAACAGGCGTATTGCTGAGTATAACAATTGAGACATCTCCGGTACACTGAAGACCATTGTGATGTTTCCTGTTTCTGCCGCTTGCTGCACTGTGCGAAAGCAAATCAGTATAATCTGCTTTACAATGCTCTGTCTTCCTGCTTTAGAAGCCGAGCATGGCTGATGAGCACCACACCAGCCAACGTTTCCAGCGTAACAAGGCTAGTTTCCTCACTAGATACTGTGGGAATTTCCATGTTACAGTTGCCGCCTTGCTGGGCTCCTGGAGTGGACGCGCTCTGCTTTGGGACAGAAAAGGGCTCTTATATTTAGCAGCCTGAATGAGGCCCTCCCCATGCTGTAAGCCCTCTCCTCAGCTGGGATGCTGATGGAGATCCTGCAAATAAGGACTTCTGCTTTTGCATGCCGCTTTGCTGTCCCTGGCTTCCTAACCCACCCTCTCGTACAGCAGATAGCTCCAAGATTGCCAGAGGCTCAGACTGTGATTTATGGGCCCTCTGCCCAGAGCTCTTCTCTTTGGGTGCCAGAGGCAGCCCCTGTCTTTGCTGAGCAAGGTGCCTGTGCCCCGCAGCTCTGCCCCTTCCTGGGCACCCAGCCTGCCTGGCACGGCCTGTCCCCTGGGCCGTGAAAGGAGGCTGGGGAAAGGTGCAGAACCGTCTTCCCTCTTTTCCCCTCTTTTTGACCCAAAGCTTGGCATTCACCACTCAAATCCTGCAAGCAGCGGGCATTTGTGTTGAGTTGGGCTGGGGAAGGTGGCCAGAGCCAGGGCGCTGCAGAAAGCTTTGAGCTACGTAACTGTCTGTCCCGTGCGTCAGCACGGGAGCACGAGACTGGCCTCCAGGGCTCAGCTGGAAGGGGGAACGTGTCCCCACAAAACTCGCACGTTCCTCTTCCCCGCGCTGAGCAGACGGAGCAGCCCGGCCCCGGGGCAGGGACGGCTCAGGTTACTCGCAAAGCAAAGCCCGTCCCGTGTCCCAGTGCATCAGGAAGAAACTGAAGTAGCCTAAAGTGAGTTTTTTTTTTTTTCCTCCTGTTTATTTCCTTTTAGCTTTTCTCTGAATTTGGCTGAGAGCACCGTGCTTAGCTGTCAAAACAGACCATAGTGATGGGTGGGGAACCGAGCCCTAGGCTAACCCAGACGGCCAGCCGCCGTCTCTGCGGCGCGAAGGCTGCGACTTGCCCCTTGGCTGTCGTGGCCCGCGTGGGGCGCGGGGGGGGGGGGGG